CAAGATGCTCCCTCAAGAGGCAAAAATAGCCCTTTTCAAGGACAACAAGGAGAGGGGGTGGCCCTCTCCTTCTTAGGATACCAAGGGATTAGGTCCCTGTACTGTGTGACTGTAAATTTTGTATAGACTGTACTGCTTGTATATGTGAATGCATGAAAAATCTTTTGGTATACAGACTGTCACAGCTCAATGGACATTATTTATTTACTGTACTGGCTTCCGCCAGGCCATGTACTCTGTATTACTGTATTACTGTTCTGCAGGCCTTCGGTAATCTCGGATTACTGGCCGGTTACGGTGCTAAACCCATAGGGCCGGGTTTGGGTCGTGACATGTATGCCCTAGCAGCACCTCCAGCATAGCCAGTCGCGCTGTTGGAGCAGAGGAGTCATGGTGGATGGCTCAGTCGCTGCCACAAATGTCACTGCTGTAGATGTGAGAAGAAAAAGAGAGATGGAGAGTGAAAAGACACTAGTGGTGGCTGGTAGAGTGGAGATGAAGACGGTGGTAAACCGACAATTAGATTTGCGAAGAAAGAGAGAGAGAAAGAAAGAAATATCATATCATAGAGATACAAAAAAAAATGTGAGATCAGAGTGAGGGGTAATTATTCAGTAATCACGGAGTAAAGATACGTGATATTCTATAGAATTGTGATTGGTGAAAAATATGGATAGGTGGGGTATTATGTTAGGTGATTGGAGAAGATGAATAATGATTGGTTAAAAAGTATAGACACATGGTACTCGAGGAACATTCTATAATTTCCCTTGAGGGAGATAGAGAGAGACAGATTGAGATCAATAAAACGCATGAGGGGTAGTTCAGTTCATTTTGTCTAGGCTTGTCCTTTTGGACAATGTAATTCGGTGCCTGGATCTCTGGGTAAAAAAATTTGAAAAGTGGATTTATCACCAGAGCGCTCTATAATAAAATACAAGAAAATTATAAAAAAAAAATTTCAAAATTTCACCCTTATAATAAAATATATCCTAATTTTTTAATTTTGTCGATTTAAAATCTTAACTTTTGATTTGTTTTTAATATGAATTATTTGTTTATTTTTGTTAAGTAAAATCAATTTAAAAATAGATATTTTAGTCATTAAACTAATGGAAATGAGTATTTTAAATATTTTATGTATATTTATATTGAGTTTAATGACTAAAATATTTTTTTTCATCAATTTTAGTTAAACAAATAGTTTACATTGAAAAAAAAAACAAACTATTAGAATTTAAATTGATAAAATTAAAAATTCATGATTTATTTTGCTACGAAGGTCAAATTCTGTGATCTTTTTTTTTTGTATTAAATACTCACATGGGGGTGGGACTCATGTAGTTCCCATGTAATGTGAGTTCTACACCCCGGTTAGCATTGGGTAGAATATTTGATAATTCATTTTTAATCCCTAGCATTCCACTTTTAGTTATTCCCAAACAAGACCTTCAGAAATAATATAAACAACAATGCTACAAATCTAAAAAAAATTATCTAGAAAATTATTGTGAAAAAAAATAAATAGTCTAAAATCATCGTAGCTGTGACTCACGTCCACTAACTTTAAATTTACATTACATACTCACTTTCAAAGTAAGATTTGAAATACATTTTCAATCCATATATAGCCCATAACATTTTTGTAATGTAAATGTCAAACAGTAAATCCTATTGCTATTGCTTCAAGAACATTAAATAACATTCAATCCATATCCATACATTTTAATGTCTAATTGACATGTTTGGAAGGTAATCCCCAAAGGATTGTGCTAATCCAAGCAAATTCTATAACAGGAGAGAAAATGAAAAGTATAATAAATATTTAATATTAGTTAGCTCTAAAACCTCTCTTTCTCTCTCTCTAAAACCTCCTTCCCAGGCCTCCCTTTGGGCCGGCCGGCCGGCCGCCGCCTTCGGCTATGGCAGTCGGCTGGCCTAGTTCTTTCCGGCATCCGTTTGTTTGTTCTTTTTCCTCCAATAAACTTGATTTCCCTCATTTCTCCCACCTTAGGGTGTTTGTCTTGCAGCGGTTGGTTTTTATGGTGATTCGGGGCCGTCCAGGATCTTCATTCGTGCGCTCTTTTGCGAGTAGGAGCTTGAGGGGTGAACTCTGGTTCAGGTTGGTGGAGAAGTTTCGATGCTTTGTTTGGACAGAAACATGGATGTCGAAGTCGATCCAGATCTGTCTGGTTTTCATTCGTGCGCGCCTCTTTGGGTGAGAGTTTGAGGGGTGATCTTCTTCTAATGTATGGTGGTGTCCCAGCGGTTGGTCGGTGTTTTGGCTGGTGTATGGAGCTGCAGTGGTGTGGGTGTTGATCTGTCTTCGAGTGTTGTTCTTCGTGGAGCTGCAGTGGGTGTGGGTGTTTTCGGCAGCAAGTGTGGAGGTTGGAGTTTGGAGTTTGGAGGTTGGGTGTTAATCTGTTTCAGAGTTTGGAGGTTGGAGTTGCAATGGAGTTTGGAGTTGCAATGGTGTTTGGAGCTATGGGCTGTTGGTTGATGGTGTTTTCCGGTGGTGTTTGGAGTTTGGCAGGTTGTTCGGCAGCGAGTGTGGAGGTTGGAGTTTGGAGTTTGGAGGTTGGGTGTTAATCTGTCTTCGGAGTTTGGAGGTGGAGTTTGGAGTTGCAATGGTGTTTGGAGCTGTGGGCTGTTGGTTGATGGTGTTTTCCGGTGGTATTTGGAGCCGTGACCTGTTGGCTACAGTGTTTTCCGGTGGTGTTGAGAGTGCAGCAGCGTGCAGCAGAGTAGGTGTGGCCTCGGGAGTGTAGCAACACAGCGGCTTAGGTGTTCAGGTGGGTGGTTGGCTGCAGAGTAGGCGTGGGCGTGAGCTGTAGAGTAGGCGTGGGTAGCGTGGGTCTTGGGTACTGTGGGCTGTGGGAGTGTAGTTGGTGTTTAAAATATTTGGGTTACTAGCTTGATTTTGTGGTTTGATTTTGGTGGGTTGATTTTGTGGGAAATTATGTATTTTATATTTTGTTAAGTCCTTCTTAACTTTTTTTGTTTAAAAAAATTGTGAGGCCGAGGGGTTGGTTGTATGGTTGCGAGTAGTAGTAGTAGGGGTATTTTATACTTTCCGAAACTCTCTCAGTGCATTTCATCTTCCTGTACCTTTAATTTCATGTTTTTTATGAAATTTTTCTTTGCTGATCAAAAAAAATAAAAAATAAAAAATAAATATTTAATACCCTTTCTCCTTATTTCATTTCTCAATTAACTCTATAAATTAGTTCAAAAAATTATTGAAAATGTAGAGAGAAAAAAAAACCCATCAAGATGACAAATCCTATTTCCATCATCACCATACTCTCCATTTTATTAGTGTTTTCATACATAACCACTCAACTCTATGCTGCTCAACCATGGCATAACAAAGTAACAGATGATATGCTCAAAGATATCTGCTCACACACACAAAACTCTTCTTTTTGCTTCCAAACATTGAAATCCTATCCACATACCGCCACCACAAACCTCCGTGGCCTCGCGGAGTACTCCATAGACTTGACACGTGGCAGTGCCCAACAAACTTTACCGATTGTCAAATTACTTGCCAAGCAAGCAACCGATCCAAAATTAAAAGCCCGGTACACATCGTGTGCTGCATCCTATGACAATGCCATGGGGTTCATAGACGCTTTTAAGGGGTCATTGGCCGACGGTGATTACGAGGGTGTGATGGCTCAAGCATCGTGGGTCATGTCGAACGTTGATGATTGTGAACAACAGTTTAAGACACTGCCAGTTGATCCATCTCAACTCCCGGAAAGGAATCGGAATTTGTTTTATCTTGCTAGTATGGTTGCTGAGATTGCTATAGAAATTTGAGGATGAATTTGTGGTTTTTTTTGGGTTTTGGGGGGGGCGGGATTTTTCTTGATCATAATGGTGGAAATTTGGTTTTTTTTGTTTAAATCAATAAATGGAAATTTAAATGGTAATTGGTTATGAATTTGCAACTTTTTGTATGAGAATTCAAGTGATAAAAGTCTAGGTTTTAGAATTTCATTTTAGTAGTTTTTTCTTTTAAAATTTTAAAATAACGGAACGTTTGGCAAATAGCTCTTTTAATCAAAAAGTCTCACACACACACAAAAAAAAAAAAAATTCAACTTATACGACAAAGTCAAAAAAAAAAAATTTCCGTTCTTTACTTTTTTCATATTTTTCCATAAAAACAAGTTTTTTCCGAACATATTACCTTGTTTAGTTTCAATTTTATGAAAATTAATTTTTATTGTTTTTAGTGAATTTTTATAATGTTTTAAATAATTTTTTTTTTGCTTTTTTAGATGCACGTAACCTAAATGTACCTAAAAGTAAAATACTTATAAAAATATTTTAAAAAATTGACGAATACACAAGAATACGAAAATGCATTATTTTTTTTGGTATTTGTGGTATTTAATGAATTTTTTAAATATTTTTTCACAAATATTATACTTTTTAATTGTATTTATATTAAGTGCATCTAAAAATTAAAAAAATATATATTTAAAATATTTTAAAAAATGACTAAAAACAAAAAAAATACAAAAAATAAAAAACTCAATTTTCAAATAATTGAATTAAAAAAATTAGAACCAAACAATTAATTTTTTTTCACCTCATATTTTAGTCAAAAGCCCCCCAAAAAAAGTCACTTTCCAAATGGAACCTATATTTGTTACTGTTGGATCATTTTAATATCTTTTATTTATATATCTTGTTCATAAATGGGTTTCATTACTTTGGTAACCTCTTATCTTGGTCATGAATGGAGATTAATTACAATTCATAACCTTAGTGGTGAGTTAATTTTGGAGTTTCTCCATTTTCTTTGGTTTAATGATCATCTTTATTTTTGGTGTAACTGTAAGGTGCTAGTAGCCTATAAATAGTCCCTCTCATCTGCTCTTTTCTACACCAACACACACCAACTATTTTCTATACAAGAGAGATTATTAGCAAAGAATGGTGTTTTTCTTGGTGGAGCTTTGGGTTCAGCATCTTATGCAGAGTTGGCCTGAACCATATGACAAGTGGTCGGGCTATTGTATCCTGAAAGGGACAAGTCATAGTTTTGTGACTGCTGCATCAGTATTGGGGTTCTTCCTACCGCAGTGGATTTGATCTCCTTAAAGAAAACGAGATATCTCTGCCTCAGTCTGATCTATTTGTATCTAATTTACTTTGCATTATTTATCCATAAAATATAATTTTTTTTGGTATTTTCACCAACAGTTACTAAAAGAATTAATGTGTTTCGTTAATGTTAATAAAATTTAGGTAGTTTATTTATTTATTTTATTTTATTTTTTTGATTTGAGTTGTTGTGGTAAGTTAGTAACTTGTCCCGGAAATGGGATGTTCTGGATATGAATATTACGGCCCGAGCCACAGATTGGACTGTTAACTGGCCCGTTATCAATTTCTAAAGAACAGGCCCTACCCGTAGGCTTCAAAATATGGGCTTATGGGCTTTAGATCGGATTTGGCTTGTACAGACTTAATTTAGGGGTTTAATTCGGATCTTTTGATCGGATTTGGCTTGTACAGACTTAATTTAGGGGTTTAATTCGGATCTTTTATTAAATTGCAATTTTGTTAGGAAAAATTTATTATACAAACTTTTGAAATGCATCGCAACAATTAAAAAATTAGAAAAAAATAAAAATATATGTTATTTATTAAATACAAATTACATGGATACATTCATTACCTTATTAAATTGTGCCGGTGTGCTATTTACTTATTTTTTTTAATCTTGATGTCTTGCTAAAAATGCATATGTATATAAAAAAAAATATTTGAAAAAAGAAAACAAGAGAAAATAAATTTATTATATGAATTTAGATAAAAATTTAAAAAGAGAAAAGAAAACAAAAAAAAAATCGACTTATATTTTTATTTTTATTTTCCTCTCATTTTTCCTTTTCCAACTCAAGTCATAATCTAAGGCCTGGTTTAGTATCTTTAAAATAAGACAAAAAGTCAAAAAAATTACTTAAAAAGTTATCACTATTCATCAAAAAAAATTATAAAAAATTTATTTTATATACAAATTGTAAGAACTCACTGTGATGTGAGTTGTCTTTGCTTGACTTTGGTGAGGACAAATTACACAGGCGGAGGCAAGCATAAGGCCAGTGTTGTTCGGCCCGTGGGGGCCATCACGGGTCCCGTTTTGATAATCTGAACCGTTGAATATGTAGAACTCGTCGAGTATTATACGTTTATAAAAAATCACGTTGATCGGATATTGTTAACTATATGATCAAATGAGTTTTATATATAAAAAAAAAAGATGGTGTTATAGTTAACAATTGAAAAAAACTAATCCGATCAGCTAACTATCGATATCCAATCAACGTGATTTTGTACAAACATGTAGTACTCAACGAGTTTTACACATTGAACGGTTCCAATTTGTAAAACGGGACTCGTGGTGGGTCTCCATGGGCCAAACAGCACCATTCAATTCAATACCCGAAAAGGAGGGAATCATCTCCTACCCTACACTCTGCCACGCTTTCCCTTACGCCTTCCGACACTACAACATTTTCTTAGTTTAGTGACATTTGAAAGTGCCATAAAACTATTCTTCTAATAACATTTTTTGGTCTTGTAGCATTTTGAACAAGTGCCACTTTTATCGATGCCACGGTAGATACGAGTACCACGGTAGATACTTGCAAGCGTCACTGCACCATCATGGTTAAAAACTTTCAATGACATTTTAATGTCATGGTAGATATTATTTATGGCACTATCAAGCGCCATTAAAAAAAGAGTTAGTGACACTTATAAGTGTCATTACACCATCAAAAGTAAAACCTTTCAGTGACACTTTAATGTCATGGTAGGCACTATTCGTGACGATAATTCGTTGTAGAACAATTTGATCCGCTTTTGCAGAGACTCGAACCGCCAACCTCCCGCACCATAAACCTTATACACCACACTCTTCCCACTACACCTCTATAACACCATATGATTATATATGCAACATATATTATTTATATAATACATACATCTATATTAATATAAAAGTATATGTATAAACATAATTATTTTATTGAACATAATTTATGTAAAATAAACTATTTACTAGTAAAATAAAAAAAGACCACTTTGGCGACTAAAAATATTTTTTGTTCACCAATTCTATATTTTTGGCTACTAATTATTTTTTAGTTGCTAAAAAACTTAACTTTTGTTGACCAAAATCGGATTTGGTCATCGAAGATGCACTTTCAGCTACCAAAATTTTTTAGTCGCCAATTACAGACTTTTGGCTACTAAAATTTTTTTAGTCACCAAAAAGCTTTACTTTTGGCTACTAAAATTTTTTAAGTCGGTAAAACCCATATAATCAGTGGCCAAACTTATTTTTAGTCGCCAATTGTAGACTTTTGGCTACTAAATTTTTTTAGTTGCTAAAAAACTTTACTTTAGGCTACTAAAATTCTTTTTGTCACTAAAACCCATATAATCAGCGACCAAACTTAGTTTTGGTCGCCAATTGTAGACTTTTGGCTATTAAAATTGTTTAGTCGCCAAAAAGCTTTACTTTTGACTACTAATGCTGTTTTGGTTGCTGAAAACTATACTTTCAGCGACCAAATTTTTTTTGATCAGGAAATTTAGTCGTCGAATATTCTTTTTCCTGTAGTGTATATTGAGTTTAATTTATTTATTTTTAATCATTTACTGCATTGTAAAAATTTAAAAAATATATTGGCATTTTTTATTTTTTCAAAAATGCCATTATAAGCTTGGAAAGTTTTTGACTTAGTTGCATTTCTCAAAATGCTATAAAATATTTGTTTATGAAACTTTTCACCTAAGTGTCATAAAAAGTAATTTGCACCTACCTAGTGTCCTGACATTTTTTAAAAAATGCCATTGCTACTAAAGTTTAGTGGCATCTGCTGGTAAATGTCACGAACATAATTTTTTTGTGTCATTATTTTATAAAATGCCATAAAATTGATGTGACATTTCTTTATTGAAATGCCACTAGAGCCTTATATATTTGTGACTTTGTGGCATTTATCTAAATGTGTCACCAAATATTATTTTTGTGGCATTTTCTAAAAACATACCACTAGTATAGTGTCACTAAAGTGTGTTTTTGTTATAGTTTTGTGACAATTGTTCATTGAAATGTCACTAAAGCCTTTTATGTTTATCGTTTTGTGGCATTTTTCAAAAACGTGCCACTAAATATCATTTTTGTGGCATTTTCTAAAAATATGTCACTAGTGTAGTGCCACTAAAGTATATTTTTGTTGTAGTTTTGTGACACTTGTTTATTGAAATGTCACTAGAGCCTTTTATGTTTGTCGTTTTGTGGCATATTTCAAAAACGTGCCACTAAATATCATTTTTTTGTGGCATTTTCTAAAAATATGCCACTAGTGTAGTGCCACTAAAGTATGTTTTTGTTGTAGTGCGACCGTACGGCCTATTCCATCACAATCTTCTCCTATACACAAATTTATACAATTTTTTAATACACATTTTTTCGTAAAAAGTTAAAAAGTTATCCCAAACAACCATATTTTTTTTTCAACTTTTTAATTTAAAAAGTCAAAAAAATACACTTATTTAAGACATTCCAAACGATCCCTAAATCTTACGGACTTTTAAAATAAGATGATGACTAGGTTCAAAAAGCTCATCGAGGTGCGTTTGCAAGTTACCCCATAGGCCCAGTGTTTCGGGCCAAACAGGTCATATATTTTTGCCCGAACTGAGATAGCAGTTAGGCCGAGTTGAACTCGGACTTGTCCATGGGCTATCGGGTTTTTTTTTTTTTTTTTTTTTTTTTGACGAGGAAACTA